CAAACTTGTAATTTATAAGTTTGAAAAGTAGAAAGGGGAGCTTATGGAAAGAAAGAAATTATGATGTAACCTTAACAAAAAAAGGTAAAATATAAATGCATTTATAACCGCTGTCAAAAAGATCAGAAGCTGCTTCTTTATAATCTTTTTCTTTTTTATTCACAATTCCTCCTTCCTTGGTTTCTTTTCTAACATTTGTATTTTTTAAAATCTTGTTAAAATATCAATGAAAATTATATTTTTAAAACTTGTGCATTTTCTTCTTCTCGCCCACTGTGGCTTTTAATGTCCTGTGACAACATATTCAGATTGCGCACTTAGCTATTTTGAGACATGTGTTTCAGTTTCTGCTGTTCTCCCATTTGCCTACTATAGTGTGAGCAGAAGGTGCTCCTTAGGAAGTCACGATCCAATAACATTGTAGAGACAGTCTTTCTGATAATTAAGAACTGGGATGTTGCTAAGAATTTATCCAGGAGTCTCCCTGGAGCACCATTTGAGATTTGACTATTTTTCACTGGAGGCTTTTAAGAAGAGATTGTCTGGAATGGTATAGGACAGTGATGGCGAACCTATGGCACATGTGCCAGATGCAGCACGTGGAGCCCTCTCTGTGGGCACGCGCCATCCCCCCAGCACACATGGTCTCTAAAAGTTCACCATCACTGGCCTAAGGCCAGCCAGCCTGGAGCCGCCATTAGGGAGCCCACCATCCTACCCGCCAGAGATCCCCTGAATCTCCCCCAACCCTGCCCGGCTCCCACAGGTGTCCTTCCCCATAAGCAACATCAAGGTGGCCATGCCCACCCAATCTGCCATGACTACTGCAGCCACACCCATCCAGTAGCCATGCCCACCCAGTTTGCCAAGCCCACTGTAACTGCGCCCGCCGAGTGGGCCACACCCACCTGGCACCCGGCGATACATAAGTGGGTTTTGGGTTGCAGATTGGGCACTCGGTCTCTAAAAGGTTTGCCATCACTGGTATAGGATCTCCTCCTTCAGCAGGGATTGGACTAGATTCTAGAAGACTTCCAAGTCTGTTATTCTGTATTCTTTTCAGATTCTCTGCATTTCATTTCATTGGTTTTCATTTCATTGCATGGGAACAGGGGTGGAAATTGTGATGTTGCTGATACTAAGATATGTGTTTCTCAGCTTTGGTAATTTGCTTGTGGAGCAATATTTCTCAACCTTAGCAACTTTAAGGCATATGGACTCCAGCCTGTTGGGAGTCCTTGTTTATAAAAGTCTCTTTTACAAATCCAATATACTATAGTAAAATTATCCAAATCCCTCTTCTGGTTTGTTGTTTGTACATCTCTTTTAAGAGATCAGCCAGTTTCATTTTTATGTCCAGTGTAGCATCTTTTTGCATATTGTTTTTGTAGCTTGTCACTTTTAAATCTATTTCCAAATCAGTCTCAGTCTTGTGTGGCGAAACTTGTTCCTCTTACACAAATTCTTTTAAACATAGTCCATCTACAGAGGCAGACATTCTTAAAATAAACTTCTAGGTCTGTTATTCAAAAATATCCTTCAATATATCCAATGTTAAAGTTTTTTGCTCCATTTTGAATTTAATACTTAGTTCCTTCTGATTGCCTTTAGTGTCCAACCTTCAAAGTCTCAGCAATCAATTTTATTTAAACTGAATTCAAAACAAAAGGATTTTCCCACATGAAGGATTCTTACTATTCAGAAATCTTCTTTCCAATCTATCTGGATCTTTAGTCCATTTGTAACTTTCCAGAATCAAAGTTCCAATCATCCTTTTGCTGTTTATTTCAAAAAGAGAAAAAAAGTCCTTAAAGTTGTATTTAAAACTTATTTCACTAAGAATTGAAGGAAACTCATCCAGTGCTGTTAAACCTTTCAATTCGAAGATTCCAAATAGCTGAAAGGGGTTAATAAATATTAGGGTTTGTTTATTACACATTAATGTTTAAGTTAAAAAACATTTTTGAAAGTGATTAGAAAAGGAAATATAAGACCCAGGGGTCTTCAAACTTGGCCTTTTTATGACTTGTGGACTTCAACTCCCAGAATTCCTCAGCCAGTGTGCCTGGCTTAGGAATTCTGGTAGTTGAAGTCCACAAGTCATAAAAGGGCCAAGTTTAAAGACCCCTGTGCAACCCAATCTTTAAAGACCTCATCCCCCAGAGCTCTGAACTTACTGATATCTTGCAGATTCCTCGTGAGAATCAGCTGTCTGGAGAACTTTTTGGTGATCTCAAGTCTTCTCCTTGTCTAGAGAGGAATTATAAAGAGCTGTTCTACTCACCAGTTCCCTGTAGACACACCTGGATTTTTGTATGCACAGGAAGAAATTCCCACACCCAAATAGCATGTTAGAATTTCCAGATTTAACAAACAAGATAGGAAACTGTGAAATTTTTTTTTTATAAATAAGCTTGTCCACTGATTAAAACATGTAAAGTCCAGTTCAGCTTTTTAGCTTTTAGCAGCTCAGCTCAGTCTGAAGAAAAAAGCTTAAAAGGGACTGTGGTTGGTTTCCTTTTTTTCTACCACTGAAAGATTTTCTGTTTTGTAAATACTATTCACTAAAAATTGACACTTCAAAATAATTTCAAAAGATGCAATTCTAGAGGTTGGGCGAACAGTTGGCAGTGATGTTCATCTACATTGTTTTCCCCTCAAATGAATATAACATTTTTTAGAAATCAGATTTCAGATTATTTAGCAAGCTCAGAACTAAGAGTGTGGAGAAATTGGAGAAATTGTTTCCATTATTCATACCTTGCCTCTCAAAAGAAGAAGCCTCTCGGAACTGTGTACAAGCAATAGAAACGCTATTAAATCAAAATATAATGAAATATTATTTAAAAACAAGCTAACATCCTGCATCCTCCCTGTAAGGCAATTGGTGTTAACGGTCTTGCATGTAGCAGGGAGAATAAATTGCAAATGAAACAAGTTTGGGGTGGTGGCTTCCTTTCCTTCTCTTTTTGATTTATTCCTACAGGGCAATTGAAATTAATGGCTTGTGTGAGGATGCTCAGCTCAACAGGCTTCTCAGGTTTTTATCTGGTTTTCTCCCAAACAAGGAAGTTTCTGGAATATTTGTATGTTGCTGCATACAGGTTTCATCCAGCAAAATTGCTATTTAAATGTATTAATAAACCACACTGAATGTGCAAAATCTCCAAGCAAATCACATTTTGGTTTATCATGATGTATGGACCTACCCTGAGGTTTTGCTTGTCTGAACCACAAACTAACTAATTTTACCTGAGAATGAGGTAGAATCAGCTAGTTTGATTAATTTATTATTCATAAAATAATAATAATAATAATTATTATTATTATTATTATTGCATTCACCCATAAAGGAGCCTCTGGATTTGAACCACTGGATTGTGGTTCATAATTGTGTGAATCAGGAATAATTGGAACACTCAATTAAAACATGGTCCAGTTGGTTAATAATAATAATAATAATAATAATAATAATAATAATAATAATAACTCGCCATTAGTCAATTGCAAAAGGCGGCCTTACTAGGAACTGCTTCCATCCTGCGACCATATCTGTAATACCATCAAACATCCACATCTGCCTATCCCAGGTCCTTGGTGAGGATCGATAGGTAGACAAAAATGCCAAGTCCATCATCGCTGACAGTGCGATGATGATTATTATTATTAATAATAATAATAATAAAGTTGGAAGAGACCTTGGAAGTCATCTAGTCCAACCCCCTGCTCAGGCAGGAAACCCTATACTATTTCGGACAAATGGCTGTCCAGTCTCTTCTTTAAAACTTCCAGTGTTGGAGCATTCACAGCTTTTGGAGGCAGGTTGTTCCACTGATTAATTGTTCTAACTGTCAGGAAATTTCTCCTTAGTTCTAGGTTGCTTCTCTCCTTGGTTAGTTTCCGTCCATTGTTTCTTGTCCTGCCTTCAGGTGCTTTGGAGAATAGCTTGACTCTTCTTTGTGGCAGCCCCTCAAATATTGGAACACTGCTACCATGTCCCCCCTCGTCCTTCTCTTCATTAGACTAGACACACCCAATTCCAGCAACCGCTCCTTATATGTTTTAGCCTCCAGTCCCCTAATCATCTTTGTTGCTCTTCTCTGTACTCTTTCTAGAGTCTCAACATCTTTTTTACATCGTGGTGACTAAAACTGGATGCAGTATTCCAAGTGTGGCCTTATCAAGGCATTGTAAAGTGGTATTAATACTTCACGGGATCTTGATTCTATCCCTCTGTTAATGCAGCCTAGCACTGTGTTGCCCTTTTTGGCAGCTGCAGCACACGGCTGGCTCATATTTAAGTGATTGTCCACTAGTTGTCCACGATCAAGTGACATTGGAACATTAAAATAAAATTATAAGAAGTTATTTAGGCCATTGAATTGATAGTCAATATAGGTATCAGAATTACAGCATCCCTTTCCAGTCTCTGCCTGAACTTATCCAAGAAAGAAGAAACGACTACTCCAAGTCTTCAAGTTACAGAAAGTCTCCCTGGCCACAAGGGCTAGAAGGCAGCAGAAGGATTCATCTCAACTTTGGACCCTGGAATTGCCAAGGCTGTTGTTCTTTTTACCCAAATTCAGGCAGTGAATGTTGGAGTATGGCTGACTTTGCCCAACATACATAACCAGAAACTTAGGAACTACATTCATATAACATGCAAAGTTTGATTAAGCTTGTTGTCTTTTTGGTGACCTTAAGATGGAAATCCAGCCTGTTTGGTTAATCTGGAGCTCAATGTAGTGTCTGAATCCAGAAAGTAGGATCATTCAATAACTCAATTAAAGGATATGAATCTAAGCCAATGCAAGATATGGTCATTTCCCCTAAATTCTGAGCAGACTTTTACAATCAGCTTTTCTTCTTTCCACACCCTTGTTTGGCCAACCATCTCTTCCTGCCCCAAACAACTCCCACACTTTTGAAATCTAAGCTGAAGCACCACCCTGGAGAGGTGGTGAGGCTCCTATTCGCCGGCTGCATTCATTTAAAAGGGAAGGTGTACTACATGCTAGGAAAAGTTAGAAAGAAGAGAGTCACGATGGGGAGGCTGGTCTTTTTACTTCACTTATGTGCCTGGACTTTTGGTTTCGGTGAGTGTTTGGTTGAGGAAGGGTGATTTTTTTTTTTTTAATGAACAGCTTCTGTAGGTAAAACATTCTTTGCTTTAATACTGATATTTGTGGGTGGAAAATTCAATGCATTTGCTTTGCTGCTTTCTGCGTAGCTGGGCTCCTCTCCTTCAGTTGGAGAGGTGGGGTAGACAAATTGCTACATCACTCTGCAAAATGTGAGAACTGCCATGGCATTAATAACCAAAAAGAGAACTACCCAAACACAAGAAAAGAGTATTCGCAGTTTGAGGGTGGAAACCACAAACTTTGCAAAAGTACATAGAAGATTACAAGAAATGGCAAAGAAGTCTCTGACAACGCCTCTTATAGGGTTGGAACTGTGTTCATACAATCTGTTTGAACTACCCATGTCTAGTTATGTTGTGTGAATCAGACTCTGTCCTGTCCCAGGTCTGACACACACAAAGGAGTACAATTCAAGGCTTTACTTGATGTTAAGAAATTATAGCAGCGGCAGGCAGGGTGTGTAGGCAGATGTGCACACAACCTCAAACTGTCCCAGATCACTTGGATACTTACAAGCAAGATCCCATTGGTGCACATTCCAGAGATCATAGAGTTGGCATAGTTTGCCAGCCAATCCAGCTTCAAAAGCACAGAGTTTTCACAGGAAAGAGTTTAGGGCATAACAGACAGAGAGTTCTTATCTGTAATGGATGGTTTGTCTGTGGTGACGATAAAAGAGACCCCACCAAGTGCAAGGAGTCACTGGTGGGAACCCCCTTGACTGGCAAGGAGCCTGAAGATCTGTTCTTCACTTAGCCCCGTAGGACTGGGAGGAGCTCCTGGATCAAATCCCTCATATTCTGCTGCTTCCAGCTGGTCCACAGGCTGTGCTGTCCGATCAGGCTGAGGTGTTTCCCTGATGCTCTCTGGGGCAGGCTGCTCTTCCACAGGGTCCTCCGAAGTCACCCCCTTCTCAGACACCTCAGAGTCAGAGCTGGCCATGACAGACCATGGGGTTAAGTCACAGTTCAGGGTGTCCTGCAAAGAAAACTCTTCTTCAGGGTTGGGGTAGACAAGAATAAATCATTCCAGCAATCAATAAATACATGATTATTCAGGTAGAGCTTTTACAAATTAGCTGTATGCTTCTCCATAGGTACAAAAAGTCCCATGCCTATTGTAATTTGCAGCTTTGTGATGATCTAGCATGCATGTATCTGGCTTTGTTTACATGTAATAGATCAACTATGACATATACATAGTGCCTTGCAATTCGGGTATAAACCTCAAGTAGTTTTAAAGTACCAGAAACTGTCATAGAGGAAGTTGTACATCCAGTAGTAGGATTCAGCCAGTTTGCACCAGTTCGGCAGAACCAGTAGCCCAGGCCCAGAACGGACTTAGGGAAGCAGCATCCACACAGAGAACCGGTTGTTCACATATTTGAATCCCACCACTGGGTACATCTTATGATTGAATCTAGATCTCTCAAAAGGTGACAGTTTCATTGTTAAAGATTCTTGAGTTGTATTGGGTAGTATTGTCAGCTTTTTTTCCCTAAAGATTAAACTGCCTTGCACAGCAAGTTAAACTCCAAAAGATGTAATATTTCCTAGCAGTAGGAGAAAGAACTATATCTATTTTACTCCCACCTGTTGCAATGGATAATACAGGAAGTTCTGGCTTAGTAACTGCCTTGGCTAGTGGCTACATTTCCAGTAGTGTTGAAAAAGTAACTTTGCAACCAATCTTCCCATTTATGATCGTCACAGGTTTGTAAAGCAAAGGAAAGCTGAAGGAAGAGCATAAGCACAGTTGTGATTTCACTTAGCAGCTGCTTTGCTTAATCCAGTTGCTGTTCCCAATTGTGGTCACTAAATAAGACTACTATAGATCTATGATTAGGACAACTATGAAGCAAGCAGGACTTTCTTGGTTTTCAATAGTCTAACTGCGATCTAGCATAATGCATGAACCCAGAGCGTCACTGAGCATACTTCTTGGCTAAGGAAAAACAAAAATATCCCTTAAAATAGGTATTCGATTAATATTCTTTATTCCAGCCCAACTAAGGATGATATCAGATTTAATTATTATAAATATCAGAAACACCCTTCTTTTACCCCAGGAATCAATTTCTCTCCAGTCTTTTGCTAAGTTTGGGGCCAGCTCAGGAATTTATCCAAACCAAAAGCATTTTTAGGCTCTTCTTTTGTCATTTGATTTGTTACTTTGCTTTTAAAAAATAATGCAAGATGCATAGCAAGATTAATTAAAAATGCAAGATGCATAGCGAGAGAAATATAGCTTCTCTTCATTTAATGAAGAACACTTTTGAAGATGGCATTCCTGGCTGATCTGCCATCCTTCGAAAATACTTTTAACATTTTCATTTCTTTTCCCCCGGCTTAAAGCGATGTACAGCTGACCATGCCAGAATACTAGTTTCTCCAGATAGATCAGCACATTCTCCCTGGTTTGGCTTTACGCTTTATGTAAAGTCCCAGCAAAACATGACTGTAGTAGGAACTGGGTGAGCAAAAAAGTGGGACTGACTTCTGACTTCCTAATGGCTTCCCCATTGACTTTCTTTATGGGAAGTTGGCAGGGATCATTGGAAATCACAATCACATGACTATGGGGATACTACAACAGCCACAGTTTTGTGAATAAAACTGGTCTGAACATTGTGGAAATTTCAATTCCGTAGAGTCAAGTGTCCTGGATTTTTTTTACGCATTCTTTAAATTAGCTGATGTTAGGTACCTTGATTCAAAAATTATTGTGACATAATCTACCTTTTGAGCTAACTTGAGATTACAAAAAGACAAATGGATAAATGTAATGAGAATTTTAGCTGTTAACGGTGTGTGTGCATTTTAAGGCAGTCCCAACAGTCTTGCTGAGCAATTGCCCAGATACCGACCAGTATTTGTGATATTAAGAAAGTTCAAACTATTTCTTTCCACTTGCCAGTCTTCAGATGTATTGACCAACCTTGGCTGGCTATGACAGGAGATGGTGTTTCAATCAACCTGAGATCACCAAGTTGGGAAAGGCAGTGTTAAAGGATTTGACCCGGAAAGACTCTATGCAGCTGTTTACATTAGACAGCAAATGCACCTAAGTTGGTTTCATGGATTAGATTCACACATTGCATTAAGTCATGGTTTGCTTTTCTGTAGCTAATTGAATAAACTCCAATAGCTGAGTTCACCAACAGACAAAATAAAAAAACCAAATTATGACTTCGAGTATTGTTGGAATTCAGGAATTGGCTTTCCTTTGTTTGGGATTATTATAATTATTGACCAAAAGTTCACATTTTGTGGGTGGCCATTAGACAAGTTTGAGTGAACTAGGCAGCTGTAGTGGTTTGTCAACCATAGTTTACGGCTTAATGTATTTGCAGACCCAACTGCAAACTGTAGTTTATTTAATAAACCATGGTTAACAAGCCTCACCTGAGGATCCAAGCGTAATTATCCCATCGACCATCTATCTTAGTACTAACCAAAAGCTAAACTACTCCATTTTGTGCTAATGCAAACTGTGAACTTGGACGTTGTCCAATGTGGCAATCTAGCTTTGAGCCTGATCTGATTGACGGGGACATAGTCACTGTGGTTCCCAGTTAGTTCCTGATAAACGTTTCCCCAAATCCAACCCCCACAGAGCCATAGGTAGTAAACCATTGTGCAATCACTGCATAAAACAAGTCTCTGTTTCCCCTCTGGTTTCTTTTAATGCGTGGAGCTGTTCCTCCATCAAAATTTGCTTAATTATTGGGTTATTAGCAAGCATGTGCTCAATTAAGGAAGGCAGACTTAAGGTGTAGCAAATGGCAGCACATTAGCATAATCAGTCCTCACTCTCTATTAAATGTCTTGTTGCTTAAGACGGCTATATAACGCTGCTAATATCTGGAATCTGCCACTTTCTGATGCTTTATAGCTGATCAGAGATTTTTGTTGTAGCCCTAATGTTAGGAGGTAGTTTAGCTCGGTTTTACTAAGCTATGGGGAGGGAGGACCTCTGCTGTTAAAAAACCGATATAGCAACCATCTTTAATAAGCCCACTTGGGTTAAATTGATGAAACCACATCCAAGTTGAGCTTGACTCCTAGTGATTTTGTCAGCAAGATTGTACAGTTTCCCCTGGCAACAGAATAAAAGGGACCTGACACTGGCTTCTTTCTGGGTTTTTTTTCCAACTTTCCTATTAAATTTACAGCCCTGGAATTTTTTGATAGTTTCCCGTTATGTTATTAAACAGGCAAACCTACATACTTTTTGAACTGTTGTTGGTGTTCAGTCACTTGGCTGTACTACTGCTATGTAAGCCTGCCAGAGGAGAGGTTGCTTTTAAAGAAAAAGAAATGGAACCTGTCTTTTAATTCCCCTTGCTGGCTGGGGAATTCTGGGAGTTGGAGTCCACCTGTCTAAAAGCTGCCAAGGTTGAGAAATATTACCATAGATGAACACGGCATTCTTTCTCCAAATGAAAGGGGAATAACAGGAAGTGTTTTCTGCAACAATCTGTTCACCTGTTCCATAAATATGCGCAGAATTTCTGATCATTTTTGGCCACCAGGTTGGCCTTTAAATACAAAGATGAGTAGCACTTCCCAACCAATTATAAAAAAAACCTCACATTGCTGGCTTATGGTGGCCACTGAAGTATTTAATTTAAATGCTTGAAAATGCTGATACTCTGTGAAGTTGATTACAGACTTAGCTGGAACTCTAAAAGCACCCTTTCTTGTTCCTATTTTGGCTTGACAGACTGGCCCAGCCAGAGTAACCCTCCATGCCAGTCTGGTTCTTTCAAGTTAATTTAATTAACAACCACAAACTGCAACTCTCGCAGTCGTTCATCCAGTTTTGCTGGGAACTAGAAGCAAGAATCTGTGGGAGGACAAAGACGTGCCAATCAATCCTGGACAATTGTGCATTTTTTTTATTTTTTTTTTTTGCCATTCCAAGGTTGTGGGCATCTGTACATGATAGTT